CTTCTAATTTCTGGACCAAATTTTGATGTTGTTTGATATCCTTTACTTTTATTTTGATGTGATCGATGTAATAGATTATCTAAAAGATCTAAAATAATTCAATTACATATTTGTTAAATTTTTTAAGTACTGAACAAATAATACCTGAAAAAGAATAGTTTAAAATGCTCTCAGTATTACTAGAAATACTTGTTGTTTCTCGTAAATCTTTAATTAAGTCTTGGCAGTTATTCACAAGTTTTTTTTTCTTCGCAACTGTTGCTGTAGAAGTATAATTTTTCTATTTGCAAATTTCAGTTTGGCTGAAAGACATTTTATTTGTTGTGTTCCTCACAAGCCTAATAATCGTGATCGTTGTTAATTCTCCTTATTTTTTCAGGTAACTGAAACATATACAAATACAATATATTTATAATTCATATTACAATTATGCATATACACACCTCTAGATAACTATCGGCATTGAACTCCTTCATAAGATTTCTTTTCAAACGCTTTATTCCTTGCCGTGTTTTTGGTGTAGTGGAAACTTTCTAAATAATTGATAAAGTGATTAAAGGATATAAAAGTGTAAAATTTGTATCAATTGCAACTCTTGCAAAGTACACTACTTACCAATTTATATAACAACATTCTTACATTAATTATTATAGTAACTATTATACTATAATCCAAACGGTGATATGGATGCTTCTACATCTAATATATTAATTATTATGACAGCACACTACTACCTATTACTAAAATGAAATATGATTTAAATAATTATTACTTGTAATTATTAGAATTTTAATAGTCAATACAATTCACCATAAGGATTCATGCGGTTAGCACAGACTTACAGTACCTTTTGTACTTTATTATTTGTCAAAACATTTATAACAAAATTTTACTTACATTTGTAGACAAAATAAAAATAAATTCTTGAAACAAAAAAATCATTAAAAATATGAATGTAGTAAATATATAGAACCTGAATTATGGTAGGATAACACCCTGGTTTAATTCGCACAGTTGTTCCTGTTCTCTCTATATATTGTTCTTCACAGTGGGATGTGCAAATAAATATTTGTTTTCTTGATTTGTCCACATATTTGTTGACACATTGTAACCATTCAATTGTTTGACCATAAGGCGGTCTATAAAAAAATAAATATATTTAATGAATAATATAAAAGGACATTTTTTACCTGTGAAGGGTAACTCCTGGCGTTTTAATGTTGTTTTTACAACTTTTAATGGAACAAGTTAGCACCATTTTCATTAAAAATATAAAAAATATAACCAAAGAAGTTCAAACTTATTTACACTTTGAATAAATACTTAAAATTAAAGAAAAATTAGAACAATAACAATTAAAAAAACACTATAACTAAGAAAAACTAAATGAAAGAACGACATAACTATAATAAATTCTGAATAAACGAGTTTAACACTATTCGCTTACTGTTTGACAGCTGATACAAACGTTCAAAACAAACGTTTGTGACGTAGCTGAGTATTTCCAATATGGCGTCTTTTTGCCGTCACCCTCACCACCGTCACTCCCGCAGTCCAGATATGTCGATGGTCCCACCATACCTATGTATGTCACCCAGATGAAATGAACCGCTTTTTTGTCAATTCCGTTACCTCTACAAGCAATAACATCGATCATGAGCTTTGTGATTTCTATCACAACGCTGGGAGACCATCGTGCGGGTTTTCATTTCAGTCTCTCAATGACCTTGATGTCGTACAAATTGGCTGGTATAATTTAAACGCAAAAGTTATAAAATTGACAGTTCCTCATTTGATCCCGTATCTGACACATATTGTTAATGAGTGTATTTCTAGTGGTAAGTTCGCTACCCCATGGAAGTCAGCTTTAATTTTGTCTCTACCTAAGGTGCGTGAACCTGTTAATGTCTCAGATCTTCGACCCATAAGTATACTACCAGTCTTGTCCAAGATTTTAGAAAAGGTTATGTTTAACCAACTTAATAAGTTCGTATCTTCAAATAATTTACTACCGACAACTCAATCTGGGTTTCGTGCTGGATTTAGTTGTGATACTGCACTATTGAACATTGTTAGCAATGTACTTGCACAGACTGATGAAGGAAATCTGACGCTAGTTTGTCTTCTGGATTATTCCAAAGCTTTTGATTCTATTAACCACACCGTTTTGTCAGCAATTCTAAAGTATCATGGTCTGGATCAGTGGTTCTCAAACTATGGTAGGCGTACCACTGATGGTACGCGAGAAGTTCTCAAGTGGTACGCAAAACAGTTTATATTTGCATTATCATTATTGTTTTTTTTTGTTCAGTGGTACTACCTGATTTTTAAAATAGCCTTAATGGTACGCAAGGATATAAGTTTGAGAGCCGCTGGTCTAGATGATTCTTCGACGGCTCTAGTTACGGATTTTGTTTCGGGGAGACAACAAGCAGTGACAATGGACGGGGTTAGATCGGAGGTTATTCCTACAAGGTGCGGATGCCCGCAAAGTTCAGTCTTGTCGCCTTTTCTATACACACTATACACAGCCAATTTCATAAGTTGCATACAATACAGTCAGTAAGTTGAATCAGGATTTGGAGGCTATAATTGGACTATCTCGGCGTCACAACTTAATTATAAACCAAAAAAAAAACAGAAATTATACTCTTTGGTCAAACAAAAGTGAAAGAGTTGGGGGAGAGAGGCTCGAATTGGAGGGGTGGTGAGGAACTTGGATGTGCTTATTGATAAGCGACTTAATTTCAGTAGCCATCTTAACAGCTGTGTGTGGAAAGCTTATGCTAAGTTAAAATTTTTGTACTCTCAAAGATCCTTTTTAAATTTAAAAACAAAAAGGTTGCTTTGCGATTCTTTGGTATTGTCAACTTTTAATTACGAAGATGTTCTTTACTCTCCCTTTTTAACTTCGGTACTAAAATATAAAATTCAAAAGGTTCAAAATTCGTGTTTACGTTTTATGTTTGGGTTGCGTCGATGGGAGAGTGTATCACCATACTTGCATACAGCAGACTGGCTAAATATGTGTAATCAGAAACTCGCTCACTGTGCATGCTTATTTTATAATACTATTGCTACGGAAAAATCGCCTTATCTTTACAGCAAGCTTACATTCCGTTCAGATGTACTTAACATCAATGTTAAATTTAGGGGAAGGCTAACACCTCCTGCTCAAAAGACAGAATTTTACAAATCATGTTTTACATACCGTATAGCAAATTTTTTTAATCACTTGCCAGCACATCCTTGTAGTACATCTTTAAAACCTTTTAAAACAAGTATAAAGATTACTTATTCAATAAGCAATGATCATTTTGTGGCGCGGCGAATCGCGTGTCGGTTATGTGTTGAACTATATTGAACTTTCAGGAATACCTATTATTTTAAATATTATACACACCAATTGTATAAAAGTGTTGCACAGTAACACATGGTGTAGTGAAAGACCAATTCATGTTATTGAACTCCAACATGAGATTGCCTCTAAAAGTTAATTTTGTATTTTTTCTATATTATAATCTTTTTGTATTTATTTGCGATTTTTTGTACTTTTTCTTTTTGTATTTATTTTTTTTGTGAGGCAATAAAGCGATTATTATTATTATTATTACCTTTGCCAAATCTTTAGGGCGCATTTAATTTGCGTACTATGTAAAGAATAGGATAAAAAAGAACCGGCGAGACGATAGTAACAAACCGCTCAGCAACAAACTTTTTCCTTTATATTTCCACCTACTTCTAGGGCCCATATCTTCGTTATCTAGAAAGATAGCGAAAAACTAAGTACACGGTTGGAAAGCTTGGTCTTTTCTCTATCTTAAACCGAGTTTTCGTCCGCCGATATGTTGATAATGAGAGCAAGAAAAAATAAGAAACGTCGCGCTGCCACGAATTTTTGCCGCGGCTAAACCACGCTTGGGTCAATAACTCTCTTATATGACGGGGAGAAAACTCTAGAACTATATTCATCCTATGGGAAATTTTCTGCTCTTTTCATCGGTATATAACACATCTCAATCACACGTTTGCACAATCGGTTTTCAGCCCAGCAACAAACTTTTCCCTTGTATTTCCGTCTACTTTTCGGGCCAATATTTTCGTTATCTAGAAAGATAGCGAAAAACTAAACACACGGTTGGAAAGCTTGGTCTTTTCTATATCTTAAACCATGTTTTCGTCCGCCGATATATTAATAATAAGAGCAGAAAATTATAAGAAACGACACACTACATTTAAATCACCTCAAAATTGCCCCACTTTAAAGCTTTGTGCAGCCGTTATCAGAAGGAAATTCAACAAATGGTTTACTATTACATATTCGAAAAGAGCTAACCTAGGCCTGTCTTATTTCGAGTTTTCGTCCGGCAATGTCTGCCGGCGTCTGTAAAAGAAACACACCTGAAATACAACCTACAGGTAGCAGAACGCAATCACTTCTTATCCTAACTTTCTTATTTGATGAAGGAAAAATTGGGACAAAGTTTTACCCGAGAGAGAATC